GAGAGAGAGAGAGAGAGAGAGAGAGAGAGAGAGAGTGTGTATGTGGCGTCAAGGTAATGCAATGGAAAAAAGCAATATTTTCCACCCGGGGGGCAATTTTTATCGATTGTTTTGGTTTTGGGCTCAACATCTTTTACGACCATATAAAATGCTTTATTTTCTGTTTTGATTTTACTGAGAAAAAGATTCATCAAAGGTACAGAAACGAAAATGTGCAGTTTCCAATGACCCTAAAAGCTTTGGAAGTCATCTAACTTTGGCGTCCATTTTCTCACCCATGTTACTTCAGACATCAGACGAATTATACCTCCTTCAGTTGCAAATAATATATCAGTTTCTGTTCAAAATACAAGTGTATTTCTTTTTCATCAAAAGCAAGGAAAATAAACAGGCTTGAATTTGGATTTTTTAGTCCAAAAACTGACGAGACACACGTAGGTGTAGCACGCATGAAGGCTCAGGCTCGACCATGGGTCTGGGGGCCTCAAATAAATGCTGACACCGAAAAGATTGTTAAATCTTGCAAAACTTGTCAGTTACATGGGAGTAGCCCTCCTAAAGCCCCCGTTTTCCCGTGGGAATGGCCAGAAGAGCCATGGAAGCGAGTGCATATCGACTTTGCAGGTTCCTTCCAGGGTAAAATGTTCCTGATAGTGCCAAATGCTCACCCAAAATGGATAGAGGTTAAGATTATGAGCAAAATCACAGCTCAAAACATTATTCTTGAATGTGTTCTCTTACTTCGGCCTTCCTGGTCAATTTGTCACAGACAATGGTCCTACCTTTACAAGCTCTGAGTTCAGAACTTTCATGAGTGGTAATGGTATCAAACATATCACTGTGTCTTCATACTATCCGTCTCCAAACGGACTCGCTGAGCGTTGTGTTCAGGGCTTCAAGACAGCAATGGTTAAAATACAAGGGACTAGCTTCAAAGAAAAGGTTTGCAAATTTCTCACGAAGTACATGTGCTTACCACATACAACTACTGGATTAGGTCCAGCGGAAGTTTGTTTGGTAGAAAAATGGAAACCCATTTAGATCTTCTGCATCCTATGTTGAACCAGAGGGTAACAGAACAAGCAAACGCCCCAGAACGCATACCATGACAAATCTACATGTGTGAGAGATTTTGGTGTCAATGATAGTGTGGTGGGAATGGGTACCCGGCCATGGACAGGGAAAGATCTTGTCAGTATGTTAGTGTTTTGGCGTCTATAAAAGGCTGCTTGCAATGTATGCTTCCCATGAAGTTGAGGTTGTTTCAGAATGCTCTCAGGTCTGCTGGGGTAATAGTATAGTTTTTGAAGCGCGTAGAGCTTGCTGTTGAACGGGGATTTGCGCTATAGAAATACTGCCTATTATTATTATAATTAGAATGCTTCTTTTTCTGTTCTACCATCTCTTATTGACTCATTGTTTGCCATTTTTGGTTCCAGTTTTTCAAACTGATCTTACTTGGTATTATATCATATCTGATCTGATCTATCTTATCTTATCATATCCTGTCTTATCTTATCTTACCTTTAGACTAACAGTGTAATGTTTCCAATGCCATGGTCTCTTCCTCAAGGCCTATAGAAGTTGGGTAAAAGCAAGAGGAAAAGACGAACAGACCTTACCTGGAATCAATTACTCTAGCAACCAACTGTTCTTCATCAATTCTGCTCAGGTAAGTTACTCTCCACGGATTATGCCTTAGAATTTTTTTCCATTGTTGTTTACGTCTTACTTTTGCTTTTATTTGTCAGTCCTTACTTTAAGAAGGTGCTGCAAGCTGCTGATCTTCGCCAGAATAACTTCCTCTAGTAGTTAGACGTTGTTTCTCGAACCCTTTCGTAGTGAGTCTCTTTATCATTTGCCATTCTGCCTACCTCATTTGCTGTGGTTTCAAACCAGGTTTCTATATCCTGTCCCCACCTTTTGATAGGTTTCTCCTTCATTCTCTCTTGCCTTTTTCATTTGTTTCTATAATATATTTCTCGAATGAATTATGACCTTTGATAGGCCCAGAATAATCCAGTATGAGTTTCATTACATTCTGTAGGAGTTTCTATATCTATTCATCTTAGAACTTCTTCCTTTTTTATTTTCTGTCTGCAGGTTTTTCTTCAAGTGGTTAAAAAGCTTGTTCACTGATGGCTCGTGAGTCGTATCTATCTATTACGTTGCGGATATGTTACAGCATTAAAAAAAATAATTATGATCTCCCCAGGATCCCTGCAGATAAAGCAAAGAAATTCATTATACAACTCAAATAACAGGTCTGGCCCTTTTCTGAAATATCACCTTATTCATGCTTTCTAAAATATGCTAATGCAATTTCTCATTTCCAACTCTTTTTCTTTTTTTACACAGCTCTGGTGTAGCCAGGAAGGAAAAGAGGCTGTCTTTGCACACTTGGGAATGGATTCCCACATTTCAGGGCGGTATAGGTGAGTGACTTTAGAACATGCACATTGTCCTCGGAAACACAAACACAAACCCCACAAACTAACACTCTTTCACACACACACACACACACACACACACACACACACACACACACACACACACGCACGCACAAACACACACACCCACACACACACACAAGCCTAAACTGGTTCATGTAGCAAAATAAGATACGAACATTTCCATGAAGTTATTAATTACAGTAGAGGAACAGACACCAACAAACATTTGTTATTCATGATCACAAATGTACTCCCTTATGTAAACGCTTCGCCAAAGACATACATGCACGCACCTATTTATTCATATTAAAGAGCATCTCTCTTTAAAAAAAGTGTACCCCCCCCCCCCCCCAAATCACACATTTATCTCTTTCTCTTCACATACACACATTCACGCTCATACCCTTATGCACTAAATCGATAAACGAAGTAGGAAACCTCTACTCTACATGTGCATATTGGACATTTTCTGCTTCCCAGCAGTTTTTGACACAAATGTTGTCCCTTTGTATTCCACAGTCATTAGTCACAAGTTTGAATTAAACTGGAGATAAGATGATTTCAGGTCGCACGGAACCCCCAAAAGCATTGACAATAATATTAACAATGATAATATAAGCTTTTTTCCCCCTTTGGTTCCACAGAGTTATTGGCGAAAACCAGAATTCCGAGGACTTCTCCCGAGAGTTCAATTGTTCCAAAACGTCCTACATGAACCCAGAAAAGAAGTGTCGGGTGTGGTAGAAAGGAAAGGAAATAGAAGAATTTATGGCTAGCAGGACAAAATGATGGCTGGAGTCAATTGGCCTTCCTGTAAAAACACAACAAATATTTTGTTTTCTTAATGGTTTAGACTGTTTTATAACAGCCGATACACTGTTTGTTGAGTTACCCTCTGTGAACTTAGCTTTGTACTGATCTTGCAATTGGTTTGCAGTCATCAAATGAATAGTGTGTGAAATTGGCGAACCAGGAACTAGTTAGCGTGTTATATGTACCAGTTAACCCTTTAACAAAATAATATCCAAGAGCCTTACAATGAAAAAAAAATGTCTGTCGATTAAATGGTACAAAACAACATACACGCAGGTAAGGAATCTCTTATAATAACTATGTGCGTAGCTAAGCTGGGAAATGAGGAGGGAACGACAGTTTGATAGTACATCTAGAGATCTACTACAATTTTGTTTCTTATGGGACGTGGCTCAGAGTAGTTGATGCCTCTTTTTGTTTTTTGTTTTCGTTTTTTCTTCTCTTTTAACTTTAAATATGATTTTGTTCAGAAATGGTTATACCTGATGTCCTACTCATTTTTACTAATCTGCAGTCCGTACCCAGTTGTCTTGTCACCAATATTAGATTGTTGAAAATATTTGCAAGAAAAGATAAGAGTGATATAAGCATCTTTAAGTAGGAAGTAACAGAACGTTGATCTAGCAGCTCTGGAGGTCGAGGGCTGTTGTAGAGTACCTGGTGTTTGAGTCTCAAATCTAGAAAGGGTCTACATTTTTTACTTGCCGGAATACTTGTACTTACTTTCTTTCTCTTCCCCTGTTGCCGTTAAACGTCGAGGGGAGATGTCGTTTTCTATGGTAGGATGCCTCCGCTAATCTTTCAATTGGGATATTATAATTTCTCAAGGTTTCCTTGACTCCCTCAATTCATCTACCTCTTTCTGTATAGCTTAAGCACTTGGGGTTATAGCCTCTCGAGGTTGGCTGACAAGGTGACATTTGTAACAGGTGGCCATACCATTTCATTCTCTCTTTTTTAATTTTGAAGTGACAAGCCGTCTCTTTGTGGAGCTTTTTGGGTGAGATAGAAAGGGTGCGAGCTGGTAGGTGATGGTATTGCCTTTTTGACGTACAGAATATTTACCCGTGCTCAGAAAAAAGTTCTACCAAGTTATTTAAGCCCCGTGGTCTCTTTTAATTGTTTACTGTTGGCATGACTGTTCGGGAGACTATGGTTTTTGGCTTACTTTCATAACGTCTGTTTTCGTTGTGCTTATTCTCAAGTCAAATTTCTCACTGCTGCTGTTCAATTTGGTAGTGGGATTTTGGAGGTTTTGTTGGTTTGGATGGATAAGACTTTGCGCGTCTGCTTACTAGGCTTTGGTTTGCGACTTGCACTATTGTGTCCTTGTTAATTATAAAAAAGCAATGGAGTTAAAATGCCTCCCTGTTGTACTCCAGATCTTTGAACTACATGCCTGCTTTTGGTATTTGGAGCTCTAACATTGTCTAACAGCTGTCCTCTACGCCATACATTTCAAGTGTCTTCCACAGGTTGACACGATTTACTCTGTCAAAAGACTTCTCCTGATCTATGAAGACAGTTTTGGATTCTTTGTTGTGCTCTGTGGTTTTTCTTTTTTGGCCCAGCTGTCGTATTGCGAATGCCGCCAGAACAATAACATTACAATTCTATTTTAATGTCCTGAGAAAGAGGACCACAAGTGCTCAACCTTAATAATGACGTCCATCGTATTTTCAATGGTTGATAATCGTAGACAGTAAAGGCATGATTAACATCTAAAATAAATTATAACAGGAGTAAAATAGCTCAAAGCAGTAGGATCAAATTGGATCAAATGTGAAAATCATAGATTGAGATATGAAAAAGTTTCAATTTAAGAACTTGTATGAGATCTGGCTTTTATTCAACCGTTGTTTTGTTGCTGTTGCTTTTTTCAAAATAACAAATTTTCCTTATGGGAGAGAAAAGCAGTTCCCAAGAAAAGTATAAAAGAGACAGAGAATCAAAGGGGATTTAACGATGTTAAAAACATTAATAAGGAAACAGGAGGCTTACAAAATGTCCATCTTGATTTTATGTGTTTGGACAAATATTGTTCAATAAAATGAGTAAAATGTGAATATAATTATATCTTGAAGTTGTTTTGTTGTGTTGAGTTTTATGTCACTAGCTACAAACAGTACTCCTGTTCCTATAATAGACCCTCTCACACTTCCCACCGGGAGCTCTCGTGGCCTAGAGGTTAAGGTGTTCGCCTCTCATTCAAAGGTCTCGGCTTCGAATCCGGGTAGCAAGGGAAAAATTTTCTTCTCTAAAATTGTCTCCTTTCACCCCCTTTCCTGCTCTCTTGCAATGTTCTGACGTCTGATTTCGTCTCCCCTTTCTGCTCCCACCCCCACACCTCCTTTGCCACCTCCTCTGGGCTTTTGACTCTTTCTGCAGCCTTTCTACTTTTTCTCCTTGGATCCTTCTTATTGCTGTCTTTCAGCCACACCCCTCGTCTTCTGGTAGGATAGATCTACACCTAGCCTTCTCGGAAAAGGGCGAAAAATCTCGGAAGTCTCGTGTGCTAGCTGTGCAGGTTAAAGATCCCTTGTGGTCAAAAATCGAAGATTTCCTACGAACTGAAAATGTTTAATGTGTCTCGCGCGCTCATATGACCTTATTATGTGGTTTTTGTTTTTGTAAAGTGTTTTACGGCGCTCGCAACTGCATAGGTCATATGAGC